AAAAATTAAAAATATATTTTGTGCTGACGTGCTCCTGTCTCTATTACTTCAACTCCTCAGAGAAAATAAAATGAGTGTATAATACATTAAAGCTAAACCTTGCAAAACTATCCAGGGAACATCAGTTATCTTGACCCAACCTTCTGAGATAACCCAGTTATCTCACAACCTTCAGATCTACTCCAACAGAAAATACTGATTATCTCCATGTGAACTGATCATGCAACTAGGAATCTAACCCTCTGTCTTTCACTCTGCTGTTCCATGGGTCATGATGACTAAATTTGTAGGGTCTTATTGCAGTATCCCCAAGCATGTCATCAACATGTCAGAGTGGCTTTTTCTTAGTATAAAATCATAGGCATCCCTGTATGACCTTTGGCTCAGAGTCCTGGTTTATTGGCTACCTCACCAATATAAGACCAATATTGAACCTGATTGACTGGAAGATACTGATAACCACAAACTGCAGTGAAACCCTAGGAAATCAACTTTTGTAAACATGTTTTCCAGTTAAAAAGATATAATACACTCACCTCCTGGATTTCAATACCAAAAGGAGATCTAAAAATAAAAATATCTTAAGGTGTCCTAGCCAGTTTTGCTCAATGGTTGGAGCATTGGTCCTGTGGACTGAAGAGTCCCAGGTTCAATTCCAGTCAAGGGCGTGTGCCTCGGCGTCATCCCATACACTAAAAGGTTGCAGGTTTGACCCCCGGTGCATGGGTTAGGACATATATATCAACAACTTTCTTTTAAAAAAAGTAAGTTTCCCACTGAGTTGCCTTAAGAATTTTTATTGTTAAAATGAGATTTTAAAGGTTTTCTTCTGTCTCAGTTCTTGGGACAAATCAAGAGGCTAAACAAAGTTTCTGTAAATCTGTAGATATCAAAGTTTTCTTCCCTACTGAGCCAGGTTTAGGACAAGAACTGCTTCCCTACTTAATACGAACAGTAGCAGGACTTTGGCTAAGAGCTATTGTCCAAGACTTTCTGGTAACTCTCAAGTTAATACTTGTTTTCTCTACTGTTAGTTTTTGGGTTTTCTCCAGAGGCTGAAATGCTTCTAGCCACTCACAGATACATGACTGAAATGCAACTAATCCAACTACAAAGAAAATAGTCACAAGAAGCCACAATGGCTGTTATCACCAATGAATTTAGATGGTCATCGGCAGTCCACAGAGTTTTGAACAAACCTAAGTGCAACTGAATGCTAAGACTCAGTCTCCCTTTTATTCAACGGGAATATCTCTGTGGTCCTCACATTCCCTTGACCTCTGCATCTGCTCCTTCCCATTCCTCTTGCACAGGACACTGACTCTTGCAACTACTCTGCCCCTAATTTCTCAATAAAGTCAATTTGCACAACCAATCACTGCTGAATCACAAGAACAATTTCTCATTTTCCAAAAGTCATTTGACTATTCCTGATATTGCCAAATTCCTCCAAAAGCTTTAAAAAGTTCATCCTTCTTTCCCAAGGTAGAAAACTCCTTCAGAGTTTCAAAACTGCAGTATTCTGAATGAAGGCTTATGCTTAGCAGTGCTGTTGAATCTCTTCTACAAACTAGTAATCCAGGAGTTTAACCAGATTATCATTTCACTCCTTAAACCTGTGCATAATGTCTCTGATAACTTTCATCATCTTGCCGAAACCGGTTTGGCTCAGTGGATAGAGCGTCGGCCTGCGGACTGAAAGGTCCCAGGTTCGATTCCGGTCAAGGGCATGTACCTGGGTTGCGGGCACATCCCCAGTAGGAGATGTGCAGGAGGCAGCTGATCAATGTTTCTCTCCCATCGATGTTTCTAACTCTCTATCTCTCTCCCTTCCTCTCTGTAAAAAATCAATAAAATATATTAAAAAAAACTTTCATCATCTATATTTATTTATTTACTTCAAAAATGAATTTGGTATTCATTGCTTTCTCCATTTAATGGGGCCCTGTATAGTGCAAAGAATATAGGCGACCATATCAGTCATGCTATATACATTAAACCAGCAATACATGAAAACTTTTAATAACTAGAAAAAATAAATTTGAGAAACAAGAATCATGCAGAATAGGGCTTTCTCCATTCTTCTGTTTCTAGAGGAGAATTAACAATGCAAGTATCCTATTTTTGATCCATTACTATACATAGAGAATGAATTGCTGAAACAGACCAATATGGAATCATGGTAGAATTTAAAAAGTCGGATGGCCTTTTCTGAGAACTCGTTAAACACAATGGAACTACTCCAGAAAAACACACATGAGCATTTACTTATATCTAACATTTACATGCAGTTGTAGAGAGTTCACAATCTTCTTGAAGTTAGTTCACATGTGGTATCCACAAGAATTTATTCTTATTTTGCTTAGAAGATCCCTCAAATTTTCTGTCATGCACCATGCTTCCATTTTGCAGTTGTTTTGTAAGCCTATATTTTTAAAAAAATCCTGGGTTGACAATAAATGAATAGTTTAAGCAAGCAACACCAGGAAGTGCCCTATGTGTGTTCACTTCAAATGACTCAATTAATATTGCAATGAATATTTATTGATTCTCCCCAGAATTCATGGCACTATCACATAAAGGCTATTTGTTTTAGTATTCTCCTGTGCACATTTGGGCAGAGATTGATGAGAGACTTTAGTTAATTCAAGCAAAGTTTTTTTTTTTAATATAAACCCTTCCTGCAAAAATAGAAAGTATGCACATTTAGAAGTCCACATCAACTAATTAAATCATATAGCAAGTTTGAGATCATCTAATGGATGATATTCCCAAATCTGCTTTGTAGATAAGGAAATATTTGAATAAGAGAAGAAGTCCACATTGAGCCCCACTCACTTATCTTTGTCACTTTTTAATTATCTTTATCATGCTGCTCCTTTTTAACTATATCACTTATAAAAACTAGTACAAGAAAATAAATCTAGACAAAAGCAAAACAGAGGATAGCACATTAGCAGCAACTGTTCTGCATATATGAAATGTATTTAGAGTCCCAGTTTAAACCCAAACTGTATACTTAAACTGTTGTAATCCTGTTTGTTGATGTAATAGTGAGAAGGCCAGTGTCTATAAGAATAAGGGCCTGGATAGACATTTAGGAGAAAACCATCATACACGTAGAAAAATAGCACATGTATCTTAGTTCAGCATGAATTTTGCATATGAGTAATAATCTGTATCAAAGAAGGAAGATAAACAAGTAGCATTTGGGGAGACAGAACCTCTTATTTGGGATATTATTATCCTTATGATGTTCAAAAACAATGGTCAGTGGGGGGAAAGGGCTCCTGCTTGTAGAAGAGCTCTTCTTAGTAGATACAACATGAAAGGAGTCTAGATGAGGAGAGGAAAAAAGAGCAGAAAGAGTATTGTATTGTATTTACATGGGTATATCCACAATTGTACCTGACTTGAGCACAAAAGATATCTTAATTTCTTTTTTGGGGGGTGAAATGGGTAGAATTTCATTAGTTGTGGGTGGATTTGAGATCCAGAGATATACAATTTATTGCTTAAGTATATATGACACAAATAGATAGCAGTGATTAAATAGTGTAACAATTCTAATCTCATATTACATGAGTAGTTAAATAATAGATATGAATTAATTACTTATATGTCATATACATATATTGTATAGGTGTATGGAATTACTCTTGCCATTCAGACTTAACATATGGATGGAACAATAATTATATATTACCCAACAAATATGTTTACATTCATACCATATGCCACTCCTGTGAAATAATGAACACATGAAAAATAACTTGACTACAAAGCAGTTTGGTATATTGGATACACCAAATCATGCTATTGCAATAAAAGATATATTGGTAGTTTGGTGAAGCAAAAAATTTTAAGTTCATATTCACGTTTTGACACTAGTTTTACAAATTTTGAAAAACAACTTAAATTCTGTGATTCTCACTATTCTTATGACTGTAGTAATTTCATATAAGGTTGTGGAATTAAATAAAATTGTAAATATGACAGGAAATATATTTATTTTGCCTTGTAAAAGAGTGAATCTTGGATACACACACACACACACACACACACACACTCACTCTAGAGGCCTGGTGCATGAATTCGTGCATGGTGGGGGTGGGTCCCTTGGCCTGGCCAGCAATTGGGGCCGATTGGGGGGCCAGCCAGCTAGGGGGAGGGACCACAGGAGGTTGGCCAGCCGCAGGAGGTTGGCTGTAAGACCAGCTCCTGCTTGAGCATCTGCCCCATGGTGGTCAGTGCACGTCAGAGCTACCGGCTGGTCATCTGGTCGTCTGTTCACTTAGGCTTTTATATATATAGATAATGGGTAGTAGTCCTGTCCTCTCATTGTAAATAACTAGAAAACTGTTTGCACATATTGGAAAGGATTTTAGTTCCTGGAAGAAGAGAAATAAAGTACGAACTTGCCATAGCTTGGGAGGCAGTCACAAGAATATAGAGAGAAAAACCAAGCAGAGTTCATCATTCTCTCTGAGATGCTCACTAAGATAAGGAGACAGAGATCAAAGTGCAAATAGAAACAAATGAAAAAGTGTCTGGTGAAGATTTTGTCTTTAATGAATGGTTAAATTAATAACCCATAGGTTTTCTGTACAAGAGAATAAATTGAGGGCTCTGCCATGCTTTTTAAATAAAGTAGGATCCATTGAGGCATAAAATAGGAGATAGAGTTTCAAGTGAGAGTTGACAAAAACTTCTATCTTTTCCTTAGTATATGCTCTGGAGTTGTTTTAATTTTCCAGTTACTTTCCTCTGAATATGTTCTATTATATTCCTCTTAAAACTTGGAAGTTCAGCATAAAATAGTGATTTGGTTTTGTATAATTCAGATATGACACAATGGTTTGTTCACTGTAGTTTCTAGATACATGTTTTCTGATATTAAAGGTTAACTACTCTTGGATTCAATTGCACCATCTACTAGGATTCTCTCCAAAATAACTCTTTCCTTTTGTTTCTAAACTAACATTAAATAATACAATAAAATCGCTTCTCGGCCTTTTGGCTAAGATCAAGTGTAAATAATACAATAAAATCTTAAAATATAATTTACAAAGGACTTCATAAAATTTATATTACAGTAGTCCTCCCTTCTCCAGTTTTCTTTTCCACAGTGTTCAGTTCCCTGCAGTGTAGCATGGTTTGAAAATATTAAATGGAGAAATTCTGAAATAATTCATAAGTTTTAATTCACATGTAGTTCTCAGTAGTGTGATGCACTCTGACACCTTCCTCCTACATCCTGCCCTGGATGTGAATTATCCATTTGTCCAACATGCCCATGCTGTATACACTACCCTCTGGACAGTCACCTAGCAGCCCTGTTGATTATCAGATTGGCTATAGGGTATGGCAGTGCTTGTGCTCAGTAACCCTTATTTTACTTAATAAAGGCCCCAAAGCACAAGAGTAGTGATGCTGGTGATTCAGAAATGCCAAAGCGAAGCTGTGAAGTGCTTCCTTTAAGTAAAAAGGTGTGCATGTATACCTTTAAAAGCACAGGATTTAAAGGGTTCAATACTGTCTATGATTTCAGGTGTCCACTGGAGGTCTTGAAACATATCCCCCAAGGATAAAAGGAGGACTAATGTACACAATTTGATATTAATTCCATTAACTGACAAAAAACATGCAAAAAGAAAAAGCCCTGGTCTCTGTGCATTTTAGTAGGGAGACAACAGAGTTGTAAGTGCATAATTACATTGATAAAACTAGATAATTTTAATGATTTAAATTATAAATAAAGTAACATATAAGGGGGAAATAACTGAAGGTCAATACTGTAAACTTGTATACCACACCTACAGTGACACATTGCAACCAGCACTCAGATCCCAGCATTATCAGTGCACCAGAGGCTGTCCTCTTGCCTTTTTTTAGGAAATAGATATACATGGGGTGTTTCATCTGTTGTTGTTGTTTTTTCTTTATATAAAGGGATTCACACAGAAGTATACTTTTTCATCTGATTCCATTTGTTCAACATTTTGTTTGGAAATTCATTGATGATTTTTATGCAAATTTAGATCCTCCATTCTAATTATTGAATACTATTCCACTGTGTAAATATATCAATATTTATCTCAACTATAGATAAACATTTGGGTTATTTATAGATTGTGACTATAACAAGTAGTATAACTCTGGATATTATGTTTAATAAAATTTGGTGATGGGATCAAATTAAAATAAACTGATCTGAAACTCTTTCAGAGGATGTGTTATACCAATACAATTTATATGACGTATCTATCAGCAACTGGTGTGGCATAGACAAGTTATCTCAAAATGTAATAGCTAAACAACCATTTTTTTATGCAAATAAATTTTGTGGAAAATTCAGACATGGCACAGTTGGATGAATTGCCCTTTGCTTTATGACAACTGGGACTTCAACGTGAAAGACTCAAAGGTTGGAGAGGACTTTTTGGCTGAGAGCTGCAATGGTTTAAAGGCTCATTCAGTCACATTAATGGCATTCAGGATGGAATGTCTTGGAGGCCTCTACTGCCGATTACATCATATAAATGTGGACCATGTGTCTTAGCTAACTCACAGCAAGACAACCTCACAGTAGTTGGAGTTCTTATATGACAGCAAAAGACCCAAACATAAGTCTTCCTGCCAGCAAGACATAAGTTGCATCTCAAAAGTCAAACAGCATCAATTCTTACACACACTCTTGGTCAAACCTTCCCCTTGATGCCAAAGGCCAAGACATGGATCTCTCTGTAGAAGGAATGCTAAAGAAAAGGGGAGGGGTGTCATATTTTAAAACCCCCAAAGTCAGCCATAAGGAACTTATTAACAAAGAGGGAGGAATAAGTCTAAAATCTTTAAATAGGGAACAAGTTTATGAGAAGTAGGAAAAATTCAGATCCAGATTGCGTAAGTATAGTGGAGCTGAAGAGTAATAGGCAGAGGCCATATTTTTTTAGAATAGCTTAGGCCATTATGTGGGTCATAAAACATTTGGATCCCATTTTAAGTTCCAGGAAGCTATTAGAAAATATATAGGGTACAGGTATTGTCTTGTTTACGTTTTAGCAATTTTTTTTTTCTTGGCAGCCATAGAGGAAATGGTTTGTAGGAAGGCAAGAGACTGAAAAGCTTTTTAAATAATATAGGTGTCTGAAGATGTGGGCTAAGATAGTGGCAGTAAAGGTGGAAATGTAGAAAAGTAGATAATGAGTTTGAATTTTTTTTAGCTGACTCTTAATATTTATTTAACATTCAACTCTGTATCTATCTATATATATGTACATATATATTTACAATATTATTTTAAAGTTATCTATGTGAATATTTCCATAATAAATTATATGATCACTAAGAACTAGAATTTGGTCTACCTAAATATGTATCCCTGGGGTCAAACACAGTACTTGGAAGTAAATAAAAATTTAGTAACTGGAAAAAATCTATATTCTTTTAAAATGCTGAAACATTTTAGTTAACGACAGCTGCAATTAATACAGTTAAAATATAAATAATTAATATTACAAATGAGTTCTGTTGGTATAAAATTTATAGTCTTATAGGTAAGTATCTCCATAATATCATACTATATTTTATAAAATAATTCATCATCTAATCAGGAGACATTCTCTTTATATAATTCTAATTTTTTCTAAAATTATTGCCAAAATATTTTCTCTGATTTTAGCTGGTTCCTATGCAACTGAATAGGTCATATAGTGATTTTAGAACCTATAGAGAAGAAATAGTTGTTTAAAGTAATCAGTTAAGTTATTATAATTTAACACTTTGGAACACTGATATTGTGCTGTTTTCAAGAAAAGGCAGACTAAATCAGATGTTGATATGAATTGAAATTATGTCTCTACAAGATAGGGTATTTAAAATTACTTGAAATTTAGCCATGAGAAAATATCTAGCTAGAATTAGGTAAAAAAATGTCCTTCATTTTTTAAAATTTATTTTTTGTTGATTTCAGAGAGGAAGGGAGCAGGAGAGAGAAATAGAAACATCACAAATCATTGATGTATGCCCCACAGTGGCGATCAAGCCCGCAACCCAGACATGTGCCTTGATCAGGAATCAAACCATGACCTCCTGGTTCATAGGTCAATGCTCAACCACTGAGGCACATTGTCCAGGCAAAATGCCCTTCATTTCATAGTGATATGGTTTAGGCCACTGAACACCCTGAAAATCATTTTAACACCAATCAAAAAGTTAGGGAAACTATGAAATATGCTCTTTTACAGGGTAAAACAACTACGTTTTTTTTTTTAATTGATTTTTTACAGAGAGGAAGGGAGAGGGATAGAGTTAGAAACATCGATGAGAGAGAAACATTGATCAGCTGCCTCCTGCACACCTCCCACTGGGGATGTGCCCGCAACCAAGGTACATGCCCTTGACCAGAATCGAACCCAGGACCCTTCAGTCTGCAGGCTGACGCTCTATCCACTGAGCCAAACCGGCCAGGGCAAACAACTAAGTTTTTACAGATACTTTATTTCCATTCTTTTAGTCTGTTTAGTCCTAGTGCTGTCTTGAGGCAAAATAATGGATCTGAGGAACTCTCAAAGACATTCCAAGCTTACAATTCACCAGAAAATAGGACAAGTTTCCTAAGGCACTACTTTCAGCATAGAAGTTCAAAATTAAAAACAAATTAACAAAATGCTGGATTGATGTGATTGCTGAATTTAGTATAAGAAAACTGAGTGAGGCGCCAAACCGGTTTGGCTCAGTGGATAGAGCGTCGGCCTGCGGACTCAAGGGTCCCAGGTTCGATTCCGGTCGAGGGCATGTACCTTGGTTGCGGGCACATCCCCTGTAGGAGGTGTGCAGGAGGCAGCTGGTCGATGTTTCTCTCTCATCGATGTTTCTAACTCTCTATCCCTCTCCCTTCCTCTCTGTAAAAAAATCAATAAAATATATTAAAAAAAAAAAAAAAAAAAAAAAAAAAGAAAACTGAGTGAATGTATTGGGGTGAGAAGCCATCTATTTTTTATTTTATTCATTTATCTATTTATTGTTTCATACATTTGCTGAGAATCTTCTATGTGTTCTATATTAGATCATAAAAACAACAAAGAGAAGATAGATATCTCTGATTTAAACCCATGTGCCATATACATGACAACTAAAGGATAGATATCAAAATAGAAAGTGTCTGCAGATCTTAGATTTTTCTCCCCTCTGGCCATTATTCATTTTTTTACATTTTTTTCACTGCAACCAAATTCAAGACACATGCTAATATTAGGTAGGGATGATTAACTTGGGCGTCAAAAAAACAGACAAGCTTGCATTTGATCACAGTTTTTGTTCCTCTATTGAAAAGTCTATACTCTTAATTTTGGCCTAGAGAGTATCTGTCTCCAGGTCCCTACTACCATGTCTGAGATTCTGCTACTCACTGCTATATCCACTAATTCTAACTCAATTTTGTATGAGTATATACTCATGCTTATTCACGATATACCAAATGCTTATACATGGCCCTATATAGGCCAGTGAGTTTTTGTTAATAAGTTTTTCTATATCTCTATATTTTAACTCAAATCTGACTATCTGCTTACTAGTATAATCCTTTGCAAACTGAACAGTAAGTGTTTTAAATTTGTCCACTCACCCAAAGTAGATGTTATCACAGGACTTTTTCACCAACAGAACAAATTTAACAATGAAACGGAAAACATAGTCCTGAGAGGTGTAGACTAACAGGTGAATAGTCTAGACCAGTGGTCGGCAAACGGCGGCTCGTGAGCCACATGCGGCTCTTTGGCCCCTTGAGTGTGGCTCTTCCACAAAATACCACATGCGGGCGTGCACGTACAGTGCTATTGAAACTTCGTGGCCCATGCGCATAAATCGGTTTTCGGAAAGTAGATAGACGAAACAAGTATACAAGACGAGTGTGGATGGGAGAGTTGGAAGGGGTCGACCTCAGCGAACGTACCTCAATCAGATTGAAGATGTTTTTAGCAAAGGCCAGCTTAGGAGTACCCTAATTAAGTTAATAATAATGTACCTACCTATATAGTTTAAGTCTAAAAAATTTGGCACTCAAAAGAAATTTCAATCATTGTACTGTTGATATTTGGCTCTGTTGACTAATGAATTTGCCAACCACTGGTCTAGACAGCAGTCAGTCTAGCTCTAGATACTATAGAAGGTAAATAAGTGACCAC